GTCAACATAGCAACCATTCCCTAGCAACAAGACAATAAACTAAGACGTAGGTGTGTGGCCGCAGGTGAACTGAGGGAGTCTTTGATTATTTTTTGCCCAGGAAAAAAAAATAATGGAAGTAATCTGGTTCAGCGACAAAATTGTTGTAAAATCGTACCGGACAGGGAATTTTTGTGCATTTTTTTGAGTCGTGTTTTAAACAACAATTTTGCATCAGCCGCCAAATAACAGGCAGTGGGCAGGTCCGGGCAGCACCTCATCTCGTACGATAAAGTTGGAGAAAAAGTGCCGGCGGAGCGTTTTGTGTCAGGATGTGATTATCTTAAAAACGATCTGACCTCTTTTGTGGTTCTCCCATCACCGAGTGCTAATCAAATGGGTCATCTTACTCTTTAAAGTCATTCGAATGATCATCGAATAAACAAAGATGGTTATGACTGGCCAAGGTCTTGTTTTCAAGACAAGTGCAAGTGTCTGTTTGTGTCTGAAACAAGCACCGACGTGTCATTTGATGGGGCCATCTTGGAGTTCGCCTACACGTCCACGCTGACGGTGACGGCATCCAATGTCAGCGAGATCCTGAACGCGGCGCAAATGCTGGAGATTCCCTGCATCATTAACGTGTGCCTGGAGATCATGGACAGCGGCGGGGGACGAGGAGGTGGGCCTGAAGGGAGGGTGGAAGAAGAAGTAGAGGAAGACGAGGAAGAAGAGGAAGAGGAAGACGGGTCGAGGAACGACGAACAGGAGGACGATGACGACAGGTCATCGGAGAGCAGGGGGGAGCCGCTGGGGATGGACGAGTCGCCGCCGCCCAGCACCTCCACTTACCAGGAGCGGTCGCCTGACAGCATGCATGCGAAGCAGGTAGGCCTCAGCCAAGGCTCTGATTGACTTTTCCCCTGTGTGAAAAGCTAAGCTAACTATTATTGCAACTTCAAACTGGGCAGACAAAGTGCTCAAGCCGACCGATAAAGAGTATTCATCTCGCCTTGCATTGAATGACTACTTCCAATCGGAATCGATCAGATTCTCTCAAATGGCGAGATAACAATTTGAGGAGCCTGAGTTGATGGAAGTTGCATCTGTGCTTTTGCTCACGCGAAATGATCAAGACTCGTATGCTAAAGGTTTTGGATGCTAACGCATAGGAAGATGGCAACAAGACCAGTGAGAACCGAACGCAATTCTCATACACACGTTCTGATAAAATCGAATCGTGACGAATAGCGTTCTCCTAAGGTACCGGTCTTGTTGCAGGAGAACCTGGAGAACCGCACCCTAAAGGACTTCTCCATCGAGTCGCTCCTCCAAGACGGCCTGTACCCCCGCATGTCTGCTCTGGACAGGAGGGCCAGCTTTTCCCCCCTGCTGCCTGGCTTCTACCCCTCCATGTGGGCCGCCGACTTCCCGGCATTTCCCAAGCACTTCCTGGAACCCGGGCTTCATCAGCACCCTCGCACGGGTGATGGCTCCCCAAGGGTCCCCGCCACCTACCCGACGCCCGACGCCCCGCCTCCCGGGCCCCTCAATCTGGCCGTGAAGCGAGAGATCATCAAAGAGGAAATGAAAGAGGAAGCGCTGCCCGGTCTGCTCCATGGCAACTTCCTGAAGGAGTTTGTCAGCTCGGGGCTGTGTGGTGCCATGAGCTCCGCCGGGCCCGTACCCACCTCAGACCACTCCCTGGGGGTAGTCAAGGACGAGCCTGACTTCCGCTCATACCTGAGCTTCCTGAACTCAGCGTCTCACATCGGGGCGCTCTTCCCTCCCTGGCAGCTGGAGGAGGAGAGGAAGATCAAGCCCAAGTCTTCACAGCAGTGTCCCATCTGTAACAAAATCATCCAGGGGGCCGGGAAGCTACCGCGACACATGAGGACCCACACAGGGGAAAAACCCTACATGTGCACCATCTGCGAGGTGCGCTTCACCAGGTGAGTGGAGTGCTACTCCTTTCACTCTCTCAGCTTTTAACTCATTCACTCCCAGAGACGTTTTTAAACGTCTTTTCAGACTTGGCTGGTACTAAATGAGTTAATTAAGAACAGTGAAAAAGCGGCTTCGTGATTGAGATGCTGGGGAAATTGTGAGGTCGTCCCTTCCGTGTTAAAACGTTTCAAACACAGAACATGTTTTGCATACTTTGATGGACAGAGTGAAAGGGGCTTCTGACACTTTCATAGATGCCCAAGACACCTGACAAAAGGGTGCCCAAAAAAAATGTCAATACCCTTTCAAATGACTCACAATGAATTGTGTACCAAACGGAACTGAACCCCACCGCTCTAATTTGTCAAAAGGCAGGAAAGGTGAATGGAAAACGAAGCAGCCACCTTTCATATTCTAACCCACCAATCTAAGAATCATCTCAACTCAAGATTCAAAAAGTGCGGAAACCCCCAACTGCTAATTTATCTGCGGGTGAAGTAACAGCCACCCACGGCTAAGGCACACTTTCCGCCAGCAAAACCCAACGTGACATTCAACGCTCTCTTCATTATTGTGGACTGTATGGCTCGATGCTAAAAGTACCATTTCTGTAGCATTGGCTCTTAAATTGGTGTGAATGGCGTCAAAATAATCATAATAAGATTTATTGTAGTACTTTTTGGGGGTTCCGACCACAGTGGTTTAGACACAGGGAGAAAGCCAGTCAGCTTTGAAAAGCGGTGTCATCTTAGCGAGCTCCTTTTTAACGCTGTGTGTGTGTTTGTGTCCCGCCTTGCAGACAGGACAAGCTGAAGATTCACATGAGGAAGCACACGGGCGAGCGTCCGTACATCTGCCTGCACTGCAACTCCAAATTCGTGCACAACTACGATCTGAAGAACCACTTACGCATCCATACTGGCGTACGGCCCTACCAGTGCGAGCACTGCTACAAGAGTTTCACACGCTCCGACCACCTGCACCGCCATCTCAAAAGGCAGAGCTGCCGGGTCTCCCGCCCACGACGGGGCCGCAAACCGACCGCCTGGCGCTCTGCGCCCACTGCCGGCTACTTGTGCCCGCCCAACGCCGCGGGTGTGTTGGAGGGGAACGGGTTTAAGTCATACCACAACGTTGAGGAGAAGGATGCGGCAGAGCGGCAGCGAGGGGTTTTTGCCTTTGCGTTGGACGACGCACTGGCTCGCTCGCCCTTTTACGCGGCCGCCTCGGACCCCTGGACTGTCAGGCTGGAGCGGGCTCCGCCCATCCCGGAGTCCGCCACATGAACGTCATGAGCATCGAGAGACAAAAAAAACAAAAAAAACAGAAATCGGTGAACTTCCTCACTTTTTCATTTCTATTTTTTATGGCAGGATAATAAAAAACACATCATATTCATACATGGCACAACGGAGAAGCCTTGTGAATGTTTACATGCAATTTGGAAGCGCTTGTTGCCATTGCAATTACAATGAATGAGAAGTTGCGCGGTGTATGAGCGTTTAGCACGGCTTTGACCTTCCTGTGTGGAGTTAATATGTTCTGCCAAATATTGAGGGGGCGCTCCCCTAGGACTAAATATTCCTCCTACATTCCAAAACTGTGTATGGCAGGTTATTGAAGACTCTTAACTGTCTTTATGTCTGAACGCGAAGTGTGGATGGCTGTTTGTCTGTTTCTCTTTATGTGCCCAGCGATTTGCTGGTGAACCGTCTTGGATGTACTCACAACCCTAATTAGAATAAGCACTATAGAACAAGGACGGGAGACTGATGGGGGGGGGGGGGGCAATTTTTCATCAATGCTACTCGGGGCCCACATTGGAGAGCCACGCAACCAGATGCATGACAAAAATGGCATCTTAAATAGACAAAATACATCCTGGCCCAAAAATAGCAATGTATTCCCCCCCCCCAAGAGCAATCTTTAAAAATCGTAGGTGAACCTACAATAAGCGTTTACACGAAAGAAAAAAAAATTGATTTGGCTTCATCGTGTAAATGTGAACATGTGTTTGTCTGGTGTATAGGTGGCCTGCTAATGGCTGGCGACTAGTCCAGGTTGTCCCATCCAAAGTCAGTTGGGATATTTCAGCTCACTCGCGAGCCTGGTGAGGATAAGCGTTATAGAAAATGTATGGATGGATGTTTACAAAACTAATGGACGGTTTCTAAGCATGACAGCAGACAGCTCTTTGACAACAGAAACAGTTCTGATACGCCCTCAAAGGGAATATGCCATGATGTGTTCGTTCAGTATGTTCAGGAAATCATAAGTTATTAGTGACAAAGATTAATGTTACATAATATTTATGTGTAAGGGCAAATATGATATCCACAACAATGGAAGCATTCTAAATGAGAATAACCCTCTCTTTCCGCTGCACTATTGTACATAGCACATTCAAAAAGGCAAGTAAAGCTTCCAAAGACTTTGATGCTACATGAATGAGACACAGAATCGTCGTTTGATCAATTAAATGTCATGTGTCTCCAACAAGGACTTCTCTCGATCACATTTGACTTGAAATGGGGGTTGAATACTATTTTGTTTTTTTGTGTTTGTGCTATTTATGCATATTTAAATAAATGAGCCTTGGCTATATTTTGCAAAATGTTTTATAAAGACATGACATGTTGAAGCTGGTGTGAGAGTTTTATTTCAGCATCGAAATATTCATGAGAAATAACAGAAGATGCACACATAAGTTAATGAAAAATATATAATACATATTTTTTTCTACCCATATTTTATAAACAGAGTCGTATAAGCTATAAATTATTGTAAATTTAAATACTGATTATTATTGCACACCATTAATACACTGATACTAGAGTGGGCTAACTATTTTTGTCATTTTAAGGGCAGAACAGAAAAGGGAAAATAGGCTGTTACATGAATATTGGTCTAAATGAAGGAATAGTTCCACTTTTGATATAAGGGGGCGGTCCATTATTACACGCAGTATTAAAATCATATCATCACAAATACTGTACAAAATATTTTTGAAAATATCCAAGTCTTCCCTTGGTTAACGCTTTTCCACAACCTTCAATTGTAATGCTTATTTGTGCCTCAGGGCGGCGCAAAAGCGTTAGATATTACAGCCCCCGATACTCGCCTCAAAATGTGAGTTGGCTTTCTGCGTTCTGCTCTACTGTTTGATTTTGTTCGAAACTTACTGGTGTACTTTCGTTCTTGTTTTTCTAGGCCTGTTGTTTAGAAACTGTTTCCTGCGCCAGGTCCTTAAAGAGCGTGTCCAACTTGAAGCACATTGTTCTCTTCCACTTCCTACGAGGATGTGCAATTGTGCATCAACACGTATGAGAGCGCGCACACACGCTCGCAGACTTCATTGAATACGTTCAAGCAAAGATTTCAGCATTACATGAATATAAAGCCAATATTTAATTCCATATTGCAATACAGTATAGTTCTTTCTACCAGAGAATGCCTTTCCCCCCCATCAAAACAAACACTGGTATGAAACCATCATCGCTTCCAGTAAAGCTAAAAGCACATTGTAAATAATAGTCGACGCGATAAAAATGTAGACTGTTCAATCAATGCCTTATCTTGTGTTATCCTCCGGTGTCGGGTCGCTTAGCAACTACCTAAGACAAACTGTCAGGCCAGGGAAATCACGGACGAAAAATGTCACGTAAATCCTGTCCACAATTCCATTAAAACAACAATAGTAATAAAAAATATATACATGTATACTTTATCAGTCACAGCTCGTTATGGGCCTCCTCCTTGGGTTTAATCGCATTAAAATGGTTTCCAGCTCACTTGTGCTGCATCAGCGTAATTTACTGGCTAACTGATGAGCACCTTTATTGATTCCAACGCAAACAGGAAGTGAACGGATTGTGTTTCAGACTTCAGTCGCTCAGCTCTGAGCCATGGCAACACAAAAAGACACATTGAATAGATTTTTTTAAAATATATACTTGACTTACAAAATGTGTTTTTGTTTCATTCCACACATATAATTTTAGCTCGGATTAGTCACATGAGCGTTGACAACAGTGCTGCTTACCATCATTACAATCGAATAATAATTCAGTTGAGGTGGAAGTGAAGGAGCCACTTTCGTTTCAATTCGCTGTGTGTCAGCTTTGACCTGTGCTTGGCCATGCACCTTCCTCGATATTAAAGAGGTGGAGATGACTTCACATCGATATGAATAGCGTTAATGGGTCTGAAGGAGAAATACACTGATACACACACGTGCACACACACTAAGCGTCTTCAGTTGCACTCAAGCCAAAGAAAAGCAAAGTACTCCACGGTAATGCAACTTATCAGCTCAAGACTCCACGACATTCCTTTTTGCTGAAGTACAATGATACAAATACATACAGAATCCTGTATATGAATGTAACATACACTTGAACTATTTATTACACGCACACACGCGCGTGTGCACACACACACACACACACACACACACACACACACACACACACACACACACACACACACACACACACACATGCAATCTCACACACACGTGCACACACACTAAGCGTCTGCAGTTGCACTCAAGCCAAAGAAAAGCAAAGTACTCCACGCTAATGCAACTGATCAGCTCAAGACTCCACATGACATTCCTTTTTGCTGAAGTACAATGATACAAATACATACAGAATCCTGTATATGAATGTAACATACACTTGAACTATTTATTCTGATGACTTTTTCATCGTGTGTCAAATAAAAATGGAACTTCCCAACCTACTCGATACAGTAGTCATCTTCATGCACATAACTTTATGGTCATATTTGCAAAGCGCATCACTGATGGAAGGCAGGCATTGAGTCTGAATCTTTCATCTGAATGACAAATTGTCTTTCCAAAGGACTGTTTTGTTTGAAAACTTTCTCCAAAACACAAATGTCGTCAATCATTTGAAAGACGCCATAACCGCATTCAGCATTTAAAAAAAAAACCAAAATCACAGTCCAGCTGCATCAAGCCAAGCCCTCTTCTATAATTACATTAATCTTCTGATGAAAAAAACTCCCTTTGCACTGGTTTCGTTTTACTTTCACACGTATTCCTTAGCAAAATTCTTTGGGCACACCATGTAGCAAAAGAGATTTCAAGTTTTACAGGCTGTTAATTGGCTTTACGCACAAGCGCCCACCTCTGTTACGGCTCTGAA